TGTGGTATAAGAATCAGTTGTACTCTTCATTTATCTGCAACTTTCATGCATCACAGGCTCGAGTCTATGCAAATGAATCACAGGCTGCAGAAATTGTGCAATTCTAATTTTTCTGGTAATGTAACTAGCAGCCCTGTTGAAAAAACCAGCATATGCTGGTTAGGTATGTTTTGACGCTGGGATGCTGGTTTAAGCTGTTCCTTTGCTGGTTTGAGCTGACATGTCAGGAATTCCAGTATCAACAAAGAGGCACATTGACAGATGACATATGAAACCATATAAATACATATTTCTAAATGTGGTATAAGAATCAGTTGTACTCTTCATTTATCTGCAACTTTCATGCATCACAGGCTCGAGTCTATGCAAACGAATCACAGGCTGCAGAAATTGTGCAATTCTAATTTTTCTGGTAATGTAACTAGCAGCCCTGTTGAAAAAACCAGCATATGCTGGTTAGGTATGTTTTGACGCTGGGATGCTGGTTTAAGCTGTTCCTGGTGGTTTATGCTGGTCCTTTGCTGGTTTAAACTGGTCCTTTGCTGGTTTGAGCTGGTCCTTTGCTGGTTTAAGCTGGTCCTTTTCTGGTTTAAGCTGATCCTTTGCTGGTCATGTGCTGGCAAAGGACCAGCTTAAACCAGCAAAGGACCAGTTTAAACCAGCATCCCAGCGTCAAAACATACCTAACCAGCATATGCTGTTTTCTTCAACAGGGAGTGTAACTAATTACTGTTGGCTGGGAGTAATAGGTTAAGTAATGATATTACATTTGAAAGGAGTAACTAATGAGTAATATATTAATTTTTTTGAGTAACGAGCCCAACACTTCTCCTTAAACAGCCTTAAATAATATATAGACGCATGAAGATCATCTTAGTAATGCTTGGTGATGTGAAAAGTGAAGACAGTGGACTATATAGACAGTTATTATCGTGATTTAGGCCCAAGAAGCTGAAAATGTCTGAAGCTAGAAGTCAGAAAGAACTACAAAGAAAAAAGACGAGCGTAAACATCGGTAATCCATACAACAAGGAAAGATTTAATGTAGAAAATGCTGAATAGAGACACTCAAGTCGCTTCTTTTGTTGTTGGAAAGGTAAGGGTATTATTTATTGTGTGCACCACTCTTTAAAACTCACCAGTATCAGTGAAATTCCCATACAACTCAAGAAACTATGTTAATTCCCATCGATAGATGGCAGTGCAGTGTTTAACACCTTAAAGTACACTAAGAACAGCGATGCTAACGCTAGGCTAGAATACTACTGAATGCACATTTAATGGGAAATTCTCAACAGTTAGCATAATACTTACCATAGAAGGTTAATTATAAAACATATAGTTCCTGTCCTTGATTCTGATTGGTTGAGCCGCGTTCGAAGCTGTTGTAAATTACTCTACAAACATACACCTTTGTTTACTTCTGTGTGTTGCTCGGCAACCACTTTGTTGGAACCACAACTGTTTCTGAGGAACTACATTGTTTGGTGGAAGAATACTGTTTTTATTAATATCATTACACTTTATTTGCTCTGTTTTATTTTGTGAAACCTTACTACGTATATGGAATAACCGTTTTATAAAAGCAATAATCCCCGTGAAGCCATGGTTTACAGTAAATTTATAACAGCTAAGGGGGTTTTAGAACAATGGACAACGCCCCTTAGCTGTTATAAATTCACTGTAAACCACGGCTTCTTGGGGCTTATTGCTTTAATAATGTATTGGTAATATAAACTAGATAGATTTTCTACTATTAATAAAATACTTGAATCTAAAAAGGATCATACTTTAACATTTACAACGTTTAATGTCTTCTGTTTCAGAACAAACAACGCAAACATATTTTAATTTTAATTATATGTCATTTATTTGCACAATCGTCCAGTAAGTATTTATCAAATACTGAAAAGAAAAGAAAAAAGTTTTAGTCTGTGCACTCAACAAACAGAACACACCGGTTCACTTTCTTATTTTCATTTACATGTTAATGTCTGAAAACAAAACAAAACAAAAAAAGTCTATAAAAGAGTTCAACTCCTTTAAAAAGGGAAATAGAAAAACAAATGTTAAAAAAATCACAATGCAGCCATGGTTAAAATCATTTTAGTATTTGTATGACAATTCAAACCAGTATAAAGCATATGAAATGGCAGTATACTGTACGTTTATATACACACGTTACAGAGAATAGAAGAAGAAGAGAAGCTTTATTCAGTGGTTCATTCAAAATCAATACTGTCCAACTTAAAAATAAGGTTTGTGCAAATGTCTGCATTTCTATTTGAAACAGACAGATCAAATATTAGTGTTCTCTCAGTTTTACAGATTAAAAGAAAAACAAAAAACATCTCATGTTGCCCTAAAAGTAGTGCTTAAAAAAAACCAGAGGCCCAAAATGGTTGAACAAACCTCAGCAGTCCACCTCAAAAAACAAAACCAGTACAAAAACGTGGTTAAAACAGAATGAAAAGAACAGTAACAGTTCTATTCATGAAAGACACGAAAACATCGATTTTATGCGCAATGTAGCTATATCACAGTTTGTGCTTGGCTGTAAAATAACGGCACTCGCCATAACAGCAAACTCAATGAAATTAATACTGAAAAAACAACACACACACACGTTCACACACACACACACACACAGGTTTGTTTTTGTGAAAAGTGGGGACATCCCATAGGGGTAAAGCCGCTATCACCCTCCCTCAGTATTTACAAGCAGGCCATTTTTGTAAAGGGACTTTTGAAGAGTGAAAGAACATAAACAGATCCACCACAGAAGTTACAAAAAGACGTCCTGTTATCATCCCAACAATCTTTTAGTATGTGCCCTTATTAGCCGGCAGTAACTGGACCCTGTATGCAACACAAAGACACAGCCTTTCTAAAAACACTTGGTAAAACAGTCACCGTGAATGATCAGAGATGGCAAGTAGAAATGTTAAAAGAGTAAAAAGTGAAAATATCTGCTCATCGCTCAACACAGAGGGAATAAAACGATTTAAAGGGCTTTTTAAAGCATTTTACAAACTGAGATCGCCCTTTAGATTGAACCCACACAAGCTGCCTTCTTCATACAAAATACGAAAGCACCACGCTAGTCCACGTCAACACGCCTTTGATATTCATTCAGGTAATGAGATTATAAAGTACTGTATCAAATAACCAAAGACATTTTTCTTAATCTAAAAGTATTCACGGTACTAAAATTTAAAGGACTTGCCCTTTAGAATTCACAGCTACGCTAAAATCATTCAACAAACAGTAACATAAACTCCTCCCACCAGTTCGGTGGCCCCTCCCACTTGTCATTTAAAGGAACAGTTCACCCAAAACGGATTTTTTTTGTCATCATCAACTTACAGACATCGAAACTGGCACAGAATGAGATTTAAGAGTTACGGAGAACTGTTCCTCACACAAATCTGTCATAAGATGGGCGAACTATTCCTTTAACCTCTCCCACTTGTAAATATTAACACGGCATTATCAAACGTTTTGAATGCAAATTCAATCAAGCTCACTTCATAAATCCCACCCTATAATATTGTACACAGAACAATTATCATCACGGGAAAATTTCACAGAAATAATAACAAACTCTAACCCAACAAAAGTGCAAACTGAAGCTGCCGTGCGCGCCGGTACGATTCCTACCACAACATGTGCTGCTCATCTTGAAATAAAAGACAGTGCTTGTTTCAAACACGCCAATGATCCTTCCACCGCCAAAGCAACAAACATGACAAGTAACATCACGGACAACATTTCTGTCAAGGACACAGGCTTTTAAATTGACCATTTCCACAGGAAAATCCATTTGTGACCCTGGACCACCATAAGGGTCAATTTTTGGAAATTGAGATTTATGCATCAACTGAAAGCTGAATAAATAAGCTCTCCATTGATGTATGGTTTGTTAGGATAGGACAATATGTGGCTGAGATACAACTATTTGAAAATCTGGAATCTGAGGGTGCAAAAAAATCTAAATATTGAGAAAATCATCTTTAAAGTTGTCCAAATGAAGTTCTTAGCCATGCATATTACTAATCAAAAATTAAGTTTTGATATATTTACTGTATGAAATTTACAAAATATCTTCATGGAACATGATCTTTACTTGGGGGTGGTTCATTGCGATTTCACTTTTTTAACGTTAGTTATTGTGTAATGGTGCTGTTTGAGCATAAACAATATCTGCAAAGTTACGAAGCTGAAAGTTCAATGCAAACGGAGATATCGTCTTTTAAAATTCTGGCAGTTTAATGCCTACAAAACGGCTGGTAGAGACTACAACAAGTTACTTCCCGGGTTCGTGACATCACAAACCCAGATAAACCCCGCCCTCGGGAAAAAGCAGCAAAGGGGGCAAGGCCTGCGCTGCTTTAGAGAAGAGGAAGAGAAAACTAGAGCTGCACGTAAAAATCTATCGCAATCCTGTCTTCTAAAAATTCTAATGGATTCACAAGATTCAAAATCAATGTTCTTAAAGCAGCGGTTCTTAATACTGTTCCTCGCGTTCCCCTGCTCTA